CAGACATTACTGAGTATTCTGCCCAAGCACCAATGGACATAGTTTCTACTCAGCAAAATTGCTGAGTAGTTTCTACTCTCCAAAATCGACCATATACTGGGGCACAAAACAAACCTCAACAAATACTTTGGTTCCAGCACCCACATGGTGGCTAGCAAACATTCATAACTCCATTTCCAGGGGATCTGACACCTTCTTCAAGCCTCTTCGGGCATTGCACGCCATGAGTGCACTTAAACACATGCAGTCAATATACAAAAAAGAAAAATAATAAAATATTTTTTAAAAAACATTAATTTATGCTTACAAACACCTTTAATCCTAGCAGCTGGAGAAAGACGCAGATGAATCTCTGTGAGTTCCAGGCCAGCCTGGCCACTCAGCCAGTTTATAGCTCTAAGGGCCTACATCAAAAAATTGGAAAGAACACAAATAAATGACTTAGCATTGCAACTCAAGACACTTGACAAGCAAGAACAAACGAAACCCAAACCCAGCAAACAAGAAGAAATAACAAAAATCAGGGCACAAATTAATGAAATTGAAACAAAGAAAAGAATACAAAGAATCAATAAATCCAAGAGCTGGTTCATTAAAAAGATAAACAAGATTGACAGACCGCTAACCCCGTTAACCAAAAGAAAGAAAGAGCACCTCCAAATCAACAAAATCAGAGATGAAAGGGGAAACATCACAACCGACACCAGAAAGATACAGAACATTATAAGGGAAAATTTTAGAAACGTATATGCTACTAAGTTTGAAAACCTAAAAGAAACAGATATCTAAATGCACGGGAACCACCAAAACTAAACCAAGAAGAGATTAACAGCTTAAACAGACCCATAAATACATGAGAAAATTGAAACAGTAATACAAAACCTCCCGAATAAAAAAAGCCCACGACCAGATGGATTTACAGAAGAATTCTATCAGACATTTAAAGAAGATCTACATCCAATACCACTTAATTTGTTCAAAAAGATAGAAACGGAGGGAGAGCTTCCAAATTCCTTTATGAAGCCAGCATGGCTCTAATACCAAAGCCAGGTAAAGATATAACCAAAGAAGACAACTACAGACCCATATCCTTATGCAAAAATTCTCAACAAGATAGTTGCAAACTGCATACAGACACATATCAAAAAGGTCATCCACCATGATCAAGTCAGCTATAGCCAAGAGATGCAGGGATGGTTCAATATACGTGAGTCAATAAACATCATAAAGCATATAAATGGGCTCAAAGACCAGAACCACATGGTCATCTCAATAGATGCAGAGAAGGCCTTTGACAAAATTCAACATGCATTTATGTTCAAAGTCCTAGAGGGAAGTGGACTGGAGGGAACATACCTCAACATAATTAAAGCCGTATATAACAAACCCACAGCCAACGTCATTCTAAATGGATTAAAACTGGAAGCATTCCCGTTGAAATCAGGAACCAGACAAGGCTGTCCACT